TTTCAAGGGTATCTTTCCTTTTCCCTTCTTCTTGGCTTGATGAGTCCTCTTTCCTTGAGTAGCCATGAATGCACTTTCTCCTGTTTCCATCAGCAATTGGCCCTCCTCTTGAACACACACGGTCAGAAGTTCATTACTAGACCATTTATCCTTATGCGTGTTATAAGAGATCTTAAAGGGAGCATATTGCTATGGAAGAGAGTTCAATATATAATGCACAAGGAAAGTTTCAGAGATTTCAACCTCAAGAGTTTTTAATTGAGCCGCTAAGTCTCGCGTTTTCATGATGTGCTCACGCACACCTCTCACACTAGTGAGCTTCATAGATGAGAATTTCATAATTAGGGTGCTGGCAAGTGCCTTATCTGAAGTCTCAAATTGTTCATAAATAGCCTTCAGTAATGCCCTGACATTGGTATACTGTTCGACAGAACCACGAATACCAGCAACAATTTTGGTCTTGATGAACATGATGCTTGAGCGGTTATACCGCTCCCATTGTTCATGAAGAGCAATTTCAGCTGGAGTGTTGGTTTCAATAATATGTGGTTCGTCCTTCCTAATAGCATAATCAATGTCAATGCACCCTAAGTGAAGAAGAATTCTCTCCTTCCAAATTTTATAATTCTCACCATTAAGTTCGGGAATATCACAGATATCAGAAATAGTCGCAGGTTGTATAACTGCAAAAAATATACATATTTAACATAAATTTGAGGCAAATAAACATATATCATGATTCACCAATTGAAACCATGTAAAATTGAATTTAGTGGCATAAAAATTGACTATAGGCTAAATTTTTAATTCAATTAGATTCATTTCTTATAAAACAATTATCAATTTTATTACGATAGCGATATTCTATCCATTGATAAAACTATCAAATTCTAATCCATAATCCCTGTAGGTAATTATGAAAAAGTATTTAATATTTATCCTAATTACTTACGCAAAATATAATAAAGGTTCTTAAGTTATTATATTATGCATAATTAATCACAAGTTTATTGTCTAAATTTTATTATGTGATCTTTATCCTTATATTTTATTTGACTAAAAATGTTGTGGCTAATCTCTAATCAAATAAGTTTTAGATCACTTAGACATTGATCCTTAATATCCTTATGTGATTCAAACATAATAAATAATTTTACTATCCTTTATGTTTATCTTAGCCCCGGACCTTGATATTGGTTACTGTTGTTGCATGTCATTTATCTTTTGGTTTTTATGCTTTTGTTACTATTTCTACGGTTTCTGCTGAAGTTACTAATGAATTATCTTTTCTTATTTTTATTTCCTTCTTCCTGATCCGAGGGTCTATCGGAAACAACATCTCTGCCCTATCGGGGTAGGGGTAAGGTCTGCGTGCACATTACCCTCCCCAGACTCCACTTTTGTGGGATTTTACTGGGTAGTTATTGTTGTTGTTGTTAATCAAGGTTGTTGTGGCTAAGTCTAAATTAAATAAAATTACGTGGACCACATGATATTAAATCTAAATTTTATTCAAAATTTATTGCAGAATCCATACGCAATAATTAAGTTTCATGTGCTAAAGTACTTTCTTGTGTTTGTATGTGAAAAACAATAAGGGATATACATACAACTAACACGTTAAGCACTTTAAAATTAGTTAATATAAATAAAACTCCCTAAGTAGTTTTCTTAAACTTCTCTAATAGCACATAAAGTGACGGCATCAAATGCTGCAACTATAGCCCAAAATATATTATTTTTTAAAAGAAAATTTTAAAATATTAAATAAAGTGTGGCCCACATGAACTCATGTCGTTTTCAGCCCTTACAGAATCAGAAAACTAGTCCCTTCTTATAATAATGCACATGACGATAATAACAATGTTATCTTCTACCTTCAATCGGGTCATTTTGATCCGGTTTGACCCGTTTTCAGACAAAACTCAATCTCATGATTCCAAACACCAAAAATAACGTTTCAAATTTCAGAATGCTAGAAAAATATTTTCCAATTAGTTCATATCCAAAGATTTCAGAAATACAGATCAGAAATTCCAATATCGTTTTTGAACAATTCTTTAAAATTCGAAACAACAAGGCAGAGGCATTCTACTAGCTCTGATACCAAATTTAAGAGCAGAACGCAGCAAAAATAAAAACCGCACATACCTCCGGCCATTGTTGCGGTTTTGCCGACGGTGTTTGTTTTCTACTCCGGTGAATCTTCTAAGCACTCAAAAATTCTCATTATAATGGTGTAGTTAATGGAGAAGGAAATTTGTGCTTAGGGATCCAACCAGATATGTCATATATATATATATTGTTCTTCCATCAAGAATAATTTTGAAACAGTCACATAAATGAGCAGAAGTTTCTTCACAACTTGGGTAGTTACATAAATTAAAGAAGGGAATTGAAGAAGGGATTTTTAACTAGTCCAAATTAAATGGACCACCTTCTGAAACCTTCAATGTAAAAGAACGTTTCCTACAACCAATTCTTTTCTTATATCCCAATTATTAAATTACATTGTTATTGAAGATATAATTAAATAAATAAAAGCGTGCCCTCTGCAACAATCTAAGCTTTTAGATGAGATGATCACAAGTTCAACATACACCTCGCAACCAAGTTGAGAAAAGAAGAGTAAATAAGAGTTTCTTTGCTTTTACTCAGTCTTATACTTGTATCTCGTTCGGAGGTTTATATCGGTTGCTTTTAAATAGGAATGGGAGCAATTTCCTGGGTTGTGATATCTGAAGTACAATATAATCTACACTATTCACTGTTATTTATTACTCTGTCTGGTTTCATTATATGTGGTAGTATTTCATTGGGCACGAAATTTAAGAAAGAAAGTCTTTAGGAATTTGTGGTCTGAAACAGCTAGAAAAATTTTCATGACTATAAAAATATATTGTTAAGGGTAAAATAAAAAGTTTAAGTTAAATGTCTCTAAAATATAGGAAGGTGTCATTCTTTATATACCAGACTCAACAGAAAGATCTTGCTATCAAGCTGGTCACTCAATCCTTGAGTGGTTCATTAACATCAACCACTACTAACAACATTGCATTACACGATCTAGAAATTGATCCAGAATTGGGTCCATCACTTTAATTTTAAATGGATAATAGAATAGTTGTGCTTGCCAAAAGTTATATATGTATTTTTTCAACCCTTTATTTAAGTAATTTTTAAAGTCGGACCTACTCTTTCTAATGCTTTTTTTATTTTAAAGATCAAAGAATTCTCACTATCTTTGTTATAAAATTTGTGATATTACAATGTGAATTTTATAAAAAAAATTAGGCCACTGTGAGTTGTCTCCTCGGAGACAATCATTTTATCTCTCACTATCTTTGGTAGCATAACTGGTGCAGTGTTTAACTTATCAAAATTTCTACTTTGTCCACTTAAAAAAACAAAAACAAAAAAAAAACAAAATTGCCTATCTCTTGATTTAGTATTAGTGGACAAATAAAAATGAAAATATATTTTTAGTATAGTGGACAAGTAAAAGCAAACGCAATCAGTAACTATTATAGCGTTTACCAATAAATTGTTATTTTCACCTTTAAATTGCAGTAACTATTATATATTTTTTGTTTTAAATTGCAGATTTATCAATAAAAAAACGTCGACAGCAGGGTTCGAACCTGCGCGGGCGAAGCCCAACAGATTTCAAGTCTGTCTCCTTAACCACTCGGACATATCGACTTAATGTTTAAGCCACTACTTGGTTAAATATATGTTCTAAAATAGGTCTGTTATTATTGTACGTTCAAATCAAATAAATTATTATAAAATTCAAATTGAAACTCATATTGTACGTCAAAATCTTGGATCTTCATCTGCCAAGAAAAATTATTTATTAATACACGATGCAAATTTTACCTTAAACATATGTATTTTAGTACAAACATCGAGTGCAAATAAATGACTGGGGAGGGGTGGTTTCTTTGGTAAAGGAAGATCGGATTTACTAGCAAAATTAATTTTTATGAAAATCCTAGTCTCTGTCACCCTTTTCCAAATGTAATATGTACCTTTTTAATAACAATTTTTTCTGTTTTTCTACGGAAAAAAGTGTTAAAAAAGTTTGATTCATATAGTCAACCCCAACTTATTTGGATCTGGGACGTAGTAATAAAGTTCCATTTATATAGTCGACCCCAACTTATTTCGGACTGAAACCCAATAATTGTAGTTGTTATGGCTAGGGGTGTTCATAAAAACCCGAAAAATCGAACCAAACTGACCAAAAACCCAATACTTTTTAGGTTTGGTTGGATTTTGAGTTTTAAAAAACCGATCAAATTTGGTTTGGTTTTGATTTTAGTCAAAAAGTAACCGAAAAAACCCGACTATAGAAGTAGCTATATATATATATATATATATATATATATATATATGTGTGTGTGTGTGTGTGTGTGTGTGTGTGTGTGTGTAAAGTTTCTAAAATTATATGGTACATATTAGTCATTTGTATTTTTAGTCTAGTTCTTTGCTATTATAATAATCTAATTCTTTGCTTTTACATTCTAGTTTGATTGGTAGTTTTCTTTTACTAAGTACAAGAATTTATTTTATGTTAAAAAATAATTGATTTTTAATTGAGTACTTAAATTATTCATCACTATTTAATTCAATTATCATCAATATATTCTAGTAAATGATAGATTTCTCAAATAGCAATTGGTTTGATAATATTACCTTAAAAATGTAGTCGCCGGAATATGTGTTTGGTAGTGTAATCTTCATATTTAAGAGAAAACCCGATAAATAACCCAAAAATCACCAAAAACCGAATCGATAAAAACCGACTTAATTGGTTTAGTTTGGTTCCAATATTTGAAGAACCGACTTACTTGGTTTTGTTTGATTTTTTCCAGGGAAAAATCGATCCAAACAGAACCATGAACACCTCTAGTTATGGCATGTTTTGCAGAAAAAAACTTTATCAAGATTACAATCAAGATATTTATCAATATGAAGCTGGAAACAACAAAGCAAGAAGAAACCACTGCACAAAAGATGATCAGGATTAACTCAGCAATTTAAAAGAACCAAGTTCTCCTGTCAAGTACTATAGTACTTAATGATGGGAAATAAACAAGAAGATCTAACACTTAAATATGAAACCTTCACTATAAATTTACAAGGCTCATTAGGCAATTTAACATTAGTTTCTACCTATCTGTACCTTTTTTGCAGTTTTGTATTAGCTAAGGTATGAAAGTAAAGCCAAAGAAAGAGACATGATAAAATGCATGCCTTGTCTGTTCTTTGACAATGGATCAGGGCATCATTCTTAAGATGATTGTGCCACCATCTTGAATGTGCTAACTGCTAAAAGAATGAGCAAATCGAACATTAATCCGCTTCTTAATTGGCGTCCTACAAGACGGACAGTCGTTCATTCCTTGCTTTTCGTGAAGGATGTTGCATTGTCCACAAAGAACCTGATGGGCACACGGGAGGAAAACCACTGACATTTCCTCGGTCAAACACATAACACATTCCCTCTCCATTTCCACACTTCTAGAGCCAAAATTGTTGTCAAAGAGTGCAGAGTTCTTTGTGATTTTAGGAGACTGCAGCCTCACGTCGATTCCTCTTCTAAGTGCTTCTATTTTTGAACCTTCAGACTGCAATCTCAATCGAGCGATTTCACTCTCAAGCTTCCGGATATCTTCTTTACACTTTTGCATGTTGCTCTCTGCCATTTCTCTCATATTATCCTCCTCCATTTTACTCTCAACTCCCCGTTGCTCCCTTTCAGCCTTAACGGAATCAGCCTGCTGAAGAACCCTTTGTTTCTCCCTCTCCTCCTGCTCCGACAGAGCCTGCAATTCTTTGGTATCTTAGCATGAAACTAGAAAATGTACAGCACTTTGTGTTTTTCTCGTGCAAGTTAAAAGTGTGCAACACACAAAGGTAAATCGCTTGAATTCGATTTAAATCATTTCAAATAAAAATTGTACCAGGCTCTTCTAATATACTAAGCTTATACCAGAAAGACCATCAAACTGCAACTAAATTATCAAAAGCAAGACTTATTGAATATGTGTTGGAGCCGCCTATGTTGCGTGGGCTCTCCAAAATGCTGCCGCACCCATGTTGGATCCTCCAAAAAAGCACTACTTTTTTTGGAGGATCCGACACGCACCCGACGACATTTTCGGAGAGCCCAAGCAGCATAGGGAGCCACTATTACTGGAAGTTAGAAATAAATCAGAAGACATTCTAATCAACAGTGTATCAACTTCAAGGCCTAAAAACCCTACTAGCTTATGTAAAAGGTATGCCATATAGACTAACAATACTGGCAAACAGTTAAGAACTCAATCAAGAAGGCAAAGAAATTTTAGAATGAAGAAATTTTTGTAGAAATTTTATTCCTACAAAAGCATACCTTAAACTGGCTCTGGCACCTTTTGGCTCTCTCAAGTTCCTGCTCCAAATGAGCTGCTTTTTGCTTTAGGGTAGACAAGTCGTCCTGCAGTGAGCCCTTCTCTATCTTCCATGCTTTACACTTCTTCAGTATCTCCTGCTCCCTTGCAACAGCTTGGTGGAAGTTTGTAGCAGACTCCACGGCAGCCAGCTTCGCAGCCTCCATCTCCTTCTTTAGCACAGAATTCTCCACCTCAAGTCTGCGAAGAGAAGAATTAGCCATCTCAATTTGGCCACTGGCATTTGACAATGCATACTCCATTTCAGAAAGCCTCTTCGTGGTGTTTTCCTCCACCATTTGCTGCTCCTTCTGAGACTTCTCAGCCTCTTCTTTCTCTTGCCTCAGCATTTTAAGCTCCTCCTTGTCCTTTCCAAGCCTCCGAGCCGCCTGCATAACCTTCTCATTGGCCCAATCCGTCCACCCTTGGAGCTCTTTCTGCAGCGTCTGCATACGGGAAATTAGCAACAATATAGTTTCATCTTTCTCATTTTGTGGGACATGTTTGCCCAAAGACTCATCGTACGGAATACCAGCGTAATAGTCTACAACAGCAGGGGTATTTGCGTTAACAGCAGGCAATGCACAAACAGTATCTTGAGTCGGTTGCACACTAGAAATTTCACTTGAAGGTGCGATGGACGGGGAGGTGCTTGAGCTATGAGAGCTTCCTTCAGCTAAAGGACCATTGGTTTTAAGTGAAGTCGTTACCTTAGAGTAAGTACTCTTCATTACAAAACCAGAAGAACCAGATTCAGAGTTGAGCGTCTTGTCCAAAACCATACTGCCCCAGGTGGTGAGTTTCGCTTTAAAGGAACCCTTACCCATACGACCTTTGTAGCTTTTCTCAAAATGAAATGACTTTTGCCTAAGAATATCCTTCTTAGACGAACCCCTTTTCGCAGCTCCAGATTTGTCTTCTAAAATTGCTGCCTTCGACAAAGACAATATATTCTCCCTGATAAGCCCTGAGGAACTCTCGTTCCCTGTAATTCCCACTTCATGAAGATGTGAGTATATGGACTCCTGCAATTGAGCGATTACATCGGCACAAGGAACTTCAGAATGCAAACTTTGAGCAATCGGCATTGAAGGTTTTGACGATTGTAGTTTATCCACGTTCGATTGAATCACTTCAGAAGCCTCCTTTGTTTGAGCAAGTTTTGAACCAGATGAGCTTTCTCGTGGACTTTCTAAACTGCATAGCTCGCCAAGAAGATCTCCTTCTATGGCGCATGCATGTAACAGGTTCAGATCACATATTAAAAGGCACCACATTGCTTCTGCGACGGTAAAAGCTGGCTTAACCTCCCTCAGCACGCATATCATCTCCAACATTGTGTACTCAACCAGGCTATTTAAATCCTCAAATATGAGAGGTGTAGAGGAATCCAATTCTTTTTCCCTACTTAGTAAAGCCAAGGCACCGTCAACAATAGTTGAGACAGCATCCTTGCTACCGTGATAAAGGCCACTCCTTAAAATGACCCATTCAGCTATTTCCTCACTATATCCGCATTCAACAATCCTCTTGATTGCGCTTTGGAAAGTTGCGGACAAGTTATGAAATAAAAGTTCCATTAGCTGACATGCTATTGTATCGTCCCAGTCGGCGTGTTGTAAGGTTTCCACTCCTTGTTTCTCATTGGACTGATGACACCTGCCCTCGAGTGAACCGACCCCGTTAGGTGTGCTTTGATGTTTTTCCTCTAATAATTCATATCTTGGAAATTCAGTAAGGGACAGGGCAGGTGCATCAACAGGAATATCTAGAGGAGACTCAGATAAGAATTTCCTCTTGTTCCTACTTCCTTTTTCCTGCGCTGATATTGCCAATGACTTCTCATCAGCAAATTCACCGCTGTTATGATTCACCATGTTCATTTTCTTTTCAATGATCATTAGACGCTCCGTTGTAATCCTATTACTCAAATCTTTATCAGCAGTTCCAACTGTTGCAGTGGAAGGCCATTTAGTAATAATGTGCTAGGTAGCAGAAATAAAAAATAAAAGGAGAACATAGCAGCAAAAGACTAAAAAATTATTAAATAGTGACAAAAGGAGAAAAAGCAACTGATAGATTTCTCATTGACTGAACAAATAGAACCATTGTTAAAGGCTGTTAAAGCGCGCTCAAGCCTTCAAGCTCGGTGCAGCCCTGGTTGTCCATTTTGCCTTTGCTTAATTGGCGCTTTAGTGTAGGCGTGAACGTGCTAAGGGGCATGCACCATCACTGATGGGTTCTGTCTTTAGGAGCACGACAACATATATATAGCTTAATTATAGTATTTCTCTTTTACCCACATAATTATTGTTTGTGTTTATAGTTACATATTTTTTGCATTACATTTCTAATTTTTTTCTTCGTTCGTTCAAGGTAGGAGTAAGGTCTGCGAACATATTACTCTCCTCATACCCTACTTGTGGGATTACACTGGACTTTTTGTTGTTGTTGTTGTTGTTGTTTTCTTCGTTAAAGCCCAGGGCCCCAGGATTTAATTGAACGTTGCGCTTAAAGCTCCAACAAACTTTGGCGCTTTTTTCCCCATTTTGCTTTTGACTAATCTATTTATAGAACTACTAGATTATCTAAATACAACTACACATCCATCCAAAACTAGTCCGGATCGTATACGAATCCTTTATAGCCATTCTTCTCTATATCAACACTCAATATTCAGTCTTTTAACACAAATTAAGGGTTATCTATTTTAGAGATTCTCACAATATCTCTGAATAAGGAAATAAAATAACAATAACAGGGAAAAAAAAGCAGAAATAAATGAAAACAAGCATACCTCTGAGACACAGTATAGGTGAAGCTGCAAAAGAATCAATTTTTCTGCAAAAAAATCACTCAAAAATATCAAAAGGGAAGATACCCATAGCTCAAAATTTGCAAATAAAGCAATAATTTATCAGTTTTCAACCAAAAAGCAAATCAAACATAAAATCCAAGAAACCCTCAGCTCAAACTCTTGCTCAGAACCCAATAATATAGAAAAGAACATATTTTTTCATAAACCCATGTAAGAATAAAACTAAATATAGCAAAAATTCAATCTATAATCAAAAAGGGTCACCATTTTTGGTCAGTAATTACACCAAAAGTAACATTTTTGGGGTATTCTTGAAATACAATAACAAAAAATAAAAAAGTAAACTGTAATTGAAAGGGTTACTCACCAAAAAATTCAGTTTCTATTTTTGGCTCTTGGTAGGCTATAGAGTCCACACTAGTGTGTGTGTGTGTGTATTTGCTATGCTCTCAACAGTGCGGCTTTGGAGTCGTGTCGGACTCTGTGGGTTAACTTAACCCTTTGTCTTTTTTGTCTTTGGTCACTTTTGATGATATTGGTTTAACCAGGGTTAGGTCATTGCAACTTTCCATTCATTTTTTTACTCTATGATTGGAATTTTACGGTAGAAATTCAAAAATAGTCAGATTTATAAGTGGTCATTTAAAAATAGTCACAGTTTTAAAAATCATCAAAATTTAGCCATTTTTCTGTAAAGATAAATATGAACGAAAACACTATTCAAAATCCGGAAAATACTCCAGTATAATATATCTAGTATAATATACTGGAACTCCACTATAATATACTGGAGTTCCAGTATACTTTGTTGGAACTCCAGTATATTATACTAGAGCCAGTAAAGTATACCGGTTCAGCATAATATGCTGGAAGTTCATACACAGGTGCACCGAACTCCAGTATATTATGCTGGACCGGTCTCTGTTGCAGCAAAATAGTGGCTATTTTTCAATGTCTTGGCAAACGCTAGCTATTTTTGAATGACCAATCCAAAAACTGGCTAGCCCGTGCTATTTTGACGAATTTTTATCCTTAATTAGATATTTTGGGTTTGAGATGGGTAGTGGACTTCATTTTAGAAAGAGATTTATCTCCATAGATGGCTTATTTCTATCCGAATTTGAATTAATCGAGCTAGTGTAGGGAGCTTATTCGAGACGAATCCAAAATAGCCTTATAGTGAGTTAATCAGGTATGACTCCGAATTAATCGGGTTGTGTTTCAGATACGAAATGATTAAGCAAAAAATAATAATTTAAAAGGACCCCATAATGTGTTTGTTCGACCTACGTCAAATTAATCGATTAATGAGTTTCGAATATCGGATAGTTGAAGCACATAAATAAGAGAACGAACGTGAAAAATGGTACTGGAAATAGTAAAAACTGAATTCGCGTCTATAGTTTGGAATATTACAAAACCCTTTTTTAACTATGACATATGCATGAAGGTAAATAAAAGCACTAAAAAATAGGAGTTAATTTAGTTTTTCAAGAATTTCAACGTTAATGTTTCGTGAATCAAGAACAAAATTGAACGAATTTGGAAGAACAGAATTGAACAAATTTATTAGTATAAAGATTATGGTTAGTGCCTAAAATTTCATGGTTATTTACAATTTTGTAAAAGAATTTGGCCACAAAAATTAAATTGCCGAAACTAACTTTCGTTTTTGCTATAGTTGCTAACCATGTTGCAATATTTACCTAAATAGTCACAAAATTATTTGTTACAACAAAAAGTCGTAGTTGATCGCCATTTTTTGGTTCCCCATCTGAAGTTAATGTGGCAATGATAACTTTTTACCCACAATATAATATTTGAAATGAGATATGAACGCTCCAATAGTCTTGGCTTTTAGTAACTAAAATTGTTACGTACTTAGGATGTTTTTGGTATGAAGTAAAATATTTTCCGAAAATTTTTTTTTTAATTTTCTCATGTTTGGTTTCTTATTAACTCATTTTTCCTCAATTGGAGGAAAATATTTTCTCTATCAAGAGAAGGGAAAACATTTTCCAAAACTCCTTTTCAACCTTCCCCACCCTATTCCCCATCCCCACCAACCCCCACTAACCCACACCCACCCCACCCCACCCACCCACCCAACCCCCGCCCCACCCCCGCCTACCCATCCACCCTTGCCCTAAATAAAAATATTATTAATAGTACTTTCTTTTTATGTTATAGATAGATTTTTTTTTTCTTTTCCACAAATGAGTAATTTTTTTCATAATATAAAAAGTATTTTTTTTGCATCCTAACAAAAAAATACTTTCTTTTTATGTAGAAAAAAGTTTTTTTTAGTCAAATCAACAACAAAAGTATTTTCTTTTCATGATGTAATTTTTTTTTTCATTTCAACAAAATGAGTATAGTCTTTTCATGATGTAGAAAAAGTATTTTCTTTTACTTCAAAAAAATGAGTACTTTATTTTCATTTGTAGAAAGAGTACTTTATATTTCAACCAAAAAAAGAGTATTTTCTTTTTAGTTATGTAGCACAAATTTCAACGTTATTTTTGCGTAAAACAATAAAGCAACACATTAATTTCTTTAAGTTTGTGTGAGTTTTTAGAGACTTGGGGGAGGGGGGGAGGGGAGGTTGAGGAGAGTAGCATAAAAAATATTTTCCTAAAAAAGTATTTTCTACTCTCTAACCAAACACTATAAAATATTTTCCACTCACCAACCAAACAAGAGAAACTAAGTGATAAAATCACTCATTTTCCATGGAAATATTTTCTAGGAAAATATTTTTCATACCAAAGCACCCTTAATTTCTAATATAATATAAATCCCCTTATTAGAAAGAAAAAAGAAAATAAAAAGGAAACTTCATTATAAAGTAAAAGTCAATTCAAGCATGACTTTATATATATGTATGACAAAAGTTTGTCAAAACAAATTGCATAAAAGATTTAAATTGTTGCGTAAATGTTAGTAATTTCATCTTATATTGTTTTGGTGGGTTTTGTGTGCTAAAAGACATATATGATTTTTTTTTTGGTATACATAACACATCTGGTGTTATAAATATTATTTTATTTATGGTGAATGTCTACTTTTAGAGAGATTTTAGGGTTTATTACTTGGTGGCTAAGTCACTTTTCCCCTATAAATAAAGGGGTTCTATTCCATTGTAATTGACTCCAAATCAATAAGTGTCACGACCCGGATTTTCCACCCTCGGGAGTCGTGATAACGCCTACTAGTGAAAGCTAGGCAAGCCAATTATTTCAACTATTTACTTCTTTCTCATTCTTAATCCATTAACAGTTAAGAACCAGCATTTAATAAACAACAGAATTCAATAAGCGGAAGACTGAAATGAAATGTTTAACAATGCTACCAATACCAATCCATAGCAAAACTACCCAGGACTGGTGTCACAATTTCACAGTCTGTCTAAGAATACTACAAATAAGGGTCCGAAAGATAAATACAACGTTGTCTCTGAAATACATAAAAGAAACAGAATGAAGGGATAGAAGGAGACGCCAAGGCCTGCGGACGCCTGCAGGACTACCTCGGGTCGCCTGGTGAACTGGAAGCAGCAACCTCACTGCGGTCCGAAAACTACATTATCGGGATCTGCACAAAATAGTGAAGAGTGTAGTATCAGCACAACCGACCCCATGTGCTGGTAAGTGCCTGGCCTAACCCCGGCGAAGTAGTGACGAGGCTAGGACCAGACTACCAAATAAACATGTCCGGTTAAATTATGTACAGCGAAAAATAAAGGCAAAACTTTACAATTAAAGATAGGAAGGGGAAACATGATGCGGGGAAATGTCAAGTAACAACAGAAATCCAATAGATAAATGTGAAGAACAATATAACTAAATTATCAGCAAGAATCAGGAAATCAAAGACAAGTGCACGACATCACCTTCGTGCTTTACACTCTCTCACAAATATCATGCACGACATCACCCTTCGTGCTTTACACTTTTCCTCACCCAAGCAACAATCACAAAGCAATTTGGGTAAGGGAATCAATAACATCACAATAAAATCAAGTAACCATAGAAAACCAATAAATAAACGTAAAGAACATCATAACTCAATTATCAACAAGAATCAGGAAAATCAAGCACAAGTGCACGGCATCACCCTTCGTGCTTTTACTCTCGTCCTCCCCATAAGAATCAATATAATCGGCACGGCATCACCCTTCGTGCTTTTACCTCACATAATCATGGCACGGAATGATCCTTCGTGCATTATCACTCATAAGAAGGCACGGAATTGTACATCGTGCGGCACGGCATCACCCTTCGTGCATTAACACTCTCACAAAATATCATGCACGGCATCACCTTTCGTGCTTTAACACTCTCTCACCAAAACAATGCACGCCATCACCTTTCGTGCTTTAACACTCTTCCTCACCCAAACAACAATCACAAACAATAAGGGCAGGGAAATAAATGAAATCATAATAAAATCCCGGCAAGGGAACAATAATACAACAACCATATCCCGGCAAGGGAAAACAATATCAAAGCAACAACATCCCGGCAAGGAAGATAACATTAAAAGCAACAACATCCCGGCAAGGGAGACAATATCATAATTCTCTTCTCTTTTTCACATTTACTTCCCATCTCAATTCACAACTTGAGCCAATACACTATAATGTTCAATTGCCAGCAAAGATTCCACAAATCATTTCACAACTCGAGCCAACGCTCCTAAATGTTCAGTTACCAAAATTACTTCCACAAGCCTTGTTCAAAAATAGGAATAACACATACGGCATGAACAATACAAAACGGAGTCACATTAATCATAGTATAAGACTCACGGGCATGCTTGACACCAACGTATAGATACTCGTCACCATGCCTATACGTCGTACTCAACAATTACCACATAGCAAATAGGACACGACTCCTAATCCCTCAAGCTAAAGTTAGACCAAACACTTACCTCGATGCCACGAACACAATTCAAGCCTCAACTACCGCTTTACCTCTTGATTCCACCACCAATTCGCTCGTATCTAGCCACAAGTTACTTAACTATATCAATAAATGCTAAATGAATCAATTCTAATGCATGAAAATAGATTTTCTAGAGTTTTTCCCAAAAAGTCAAAAAATTGACCCCAGGCCCACACGGTCAAAACCCGAGGTTCGAACCAAAACCCGATTACCCATTCACCCACGAACTCAAATATATAATTTG